GGAATTAATTCCCATTTAAACGAATTCACCTGCTAGCCGCGAGGTTTGCGGAGTCACGTGACCCAGATGACTCACCAACATTCTACTGTAGCCCCGCCCTCCTTGGTCCGTTTATTTCAAAAACATAGAAATATTTTATATATATTATATTCTTTTTTATTCTTTTTTTATTCTTATTTTATATATATTATATATATATTATATATATAGAAATATTTTGACAGATAATTATTAATTCAGTTATTAATTTTAATAGCGCGTAGATATTTCCTCTACAGTTCTTTCCTCTAGTGGTATGGCTGAGACTACTTCCGTGCTATCTCGAACAAGAAATATAAACTACAAAATGGTAAAAGTAAACTGTTCTTTAGTATGATAATAATAACTATAATATCAGTGGTTCCAAAGTGTAACGATAGTGTAGTGATAAGCAAGCAGACAGCAGAGAGTACAGGGAACTGTACTTTGGTATGGTAATATGAAATAATAATATTAATGTTAAATATATGATATATATTATTTTAAAAAGTATAGTATTAATATTACTTGTAATAGTAGAAGTAGTAAAGCACTACTAAAATAAAACTATACTCACACCAAACTGTAGGTAGACGTCAAGATACTGCATAGTTACATTGAAATTGATATTGAAACATGGTATAATACTGATACATACACACGAAATGCTCAAAAAATGATATTGTACTATTAGAAGGATTTGAGCAGTTTGCTGCATCTGACTGGTCGGCGAGTTAAAAGGAAGAAAAACATGGACTGATAGTGGCAGAAGTGGTAAGTGAGTTAAAGGAGCCAAGTATGTGAGAGGTCTAGAGGAGCTGGGAAGTGGCACCTTAACCTTTCCTTGACCTCATAAGAAGAGGATTTGGACTTTGGGTGAGGAATCTATGTAAAAGGTGAGATGTCTTTTCTCTTTTTACCTGCTTTGTTCTTCCTACACTTGCAAGTGGCCCCTATCATCCACAGCTGTGTGTGCTTGTATTGGCTGGAACCATAGTGACACTATATACAGCAGGTGCTTCGTACTCACTTCATTCATCATCTTTTTTTTTTATTTGAATTTTTTTTAATTTTGTACGTTTTTTAATTGACATATTGTAGGCGTCCTCTGCTTTGTGTTCTCTCCTTAAGATGTGAGGATTCTGGCAGGGATACATGAAAATTACACTTTTGTTTTTTTCAGGATGTACAGCAGGGGGCACCAGCTATATTTAACAGAGGGCCAGATTTTTCTCGACAGACACAGTGGGGACGGTACGCTCAAATAAAATGAAATACAAATCACATTTTTAGTCTAACATTATTATTTGATGTTTATTTAGGAACCATGGGCCGGATTGGACCGTTTGATGGGCCGGATTTAGCCCACAGGCCACCTATTCATTATCACTGACCCCCCCCCCCAAAAAAAAAAAAAAAATTTAAGAAACATTCCCTGTTAGCATGAAGTGAATGGACACTAGCATTAAAAATAAATGTTAAGAATGTTAGGAATGAAACAAAATAGTGCTTAAACATATACTTAATGGCGGCAGCAAGGCAAAATTTACCTTTGAAAATATTATTAAAGCGAATAAAGCTCATTATGTTCGGTAAAGGTTTTCAAAACAAATAAAGAATTCAATAATATAAAAAAAATAATTTTATTCCTTTATTCCTTCTCCTTAAAGCGACAATTTTCCTTAAGTGTAAAGTTATTTAGAAAGTGAGTGTTTGGCTAAAGTGTGTGTTTCCTCACAGGAGAAAAGAGATCTGGAGACGAGAACCATCTATAAGAGGAGGTAATGAGAGGAGGGACTACACTATATATTTGACACTCACAACCAGGGCTGTGCGCTGTGCACTCTGGAACGTTAGCATCACCCTCCTCATCCTCCTGCTGCACATAGGATCAATTTTTGAGGCTTCTTTCTGTGGGTCCACAATGGTGGGACAACTTCTTCTTAGGACTGCGGTCGTCCTATGGCTGGCGCAGATAGTTTGTACCACTGGTGAGTATCTAACGTTGGATGTTTAGAGCTGTTTTTTTTTAAATGCTATGTACTGTGATTTGTAAGGTAAGAGTCATATCCTTAGATGTTGATGGTATCAATCTCGGTTGTTCCAAACAAAGTACCGCAGATAAAATTGACATGGTCAATATTTAAAAAAAGAAATAAATAATTCGTGGTTATTGCTGTTACATTTGTCTAAAAATGTTTCACCTTTTGTAACGTACAGGTCACAGCGCTCACAATCGGACAATCTGTGCAACCCCTGCCAGTGCCCCACGTTATTGTTTTCCCATTTACTGCATGTCGAGCCTGAATATACAGTATTCCCCAAACATTTCCACATGTGTTGTGTTCATCATTCTATATGAATTTCCCCTTTTTTGTAATTTTTTTGTTTGTTATGGTTGTGTTATTTTTTTTCTCCATAATTGAATTTTTGTTGGGAAACGATGGCCGTCGCTTAGATAATTTTCAAATGAGGATATCCTCAAACAGGTTCAGAGGTTTGGATTTAATGACACAGTGGAGCCCAATCAAAAGTCAACGACAATACATACAGTGAATTTTAAACGCGTACAGTGTGCCTGTTAAATTATATGTTCAAATATGCCAATGGTTACTGCCCCCACCCGACCTGCACGGATGAATGAGAGATGACGCTGGTGCCTGTCAAATTTCAAATGATCATGTTAAAGTGAAGTGTTAGCATTGCAAGCTGTGTCATTTTCTTCGTGTGTTTGGCCCCGAAACCAGCTTTTCTTAGACTGATGTGAAGCAGCTAAATATACAGTTTCCTCTTCAGGCGGCAGCCGCTGTTGGGAAATTCAAAGGCAGCTGAGCTTTAGTGGCAGCAGCAGGTGAAATTCAGCATCCCTCTGTGAAAAGCTTTTAGTGCCTGTACACAGTCATTTCACTCTGTCTATGCAATTACAACCATTCTAGACTTGACAGAACCTCAGGCAAACGTAAACCCTACAAACTAAAAAAAAAAAAAAAAAAAAAGTACGTTAATTAGGTTTGCCCCAAAGTCAATGTCTTAGTATAACTTTGACTATATATACATTTTTACCTTTTTTTTTTCTTCAGTGTTTTGGGATTTTTTAGGATGGTAACAGAGTACATTTTTAAAGCAACAATACATGCAACACATACATACAATACATTCAGTCGAAATTAAATTACGTAACACAAGAACGTCACTTTCCAAACCATAGCACAGTATGATGACCAATCAAACGTTTTTGAAAAGATATGGATCTCTTTGGTTATTGTCTTGTGTAGCCATGATTAGTGTATCTGTGCTGTCTTTCGGTCCAGCCTTCTAGTGGTAGGTCAGTGGTAGATCCTAGTACAGTATCAGTATCAGTACTTCCTTTATCGACTGGTGGTACCCGTGACATCCCCAGTGATGTCCGCTCCTTCCTGTTCTGGATTTGTTGCCAGGGGCAAGGTCATTTATCAGAAAGGAAAATTGTTCGGCATGTACCTTTATAATAAGTCGTCGACTTGAGCTGTACAGAATGTTCAAACTTAACTTCTAGAAAAGTAGGTACAGTAAAAGTGCAAATCAGGAGAGATTATTTTGTGCCAATGAAACATAATGTTATATATGCACCTTAAGCTGGCACAGAGTTTATCATATATATATAAGGATCACGTTTCATTTTTGGTTGATTGTAAAACTGTAAGAAAAAAATGCACCTTAAGCTGGCACAGAGTTTATCATTATAAAAGATTTTTTTTTTATAAACATTTTTGTGTTTTTTCAAGGTTATGGCGCTAACTTTGGAGTATCAAATGGACAAGCGTCACATGCTCAAGGTAAATCATCATACTCATTTAAAAAAAAAAAAAAAAGTAAAATTTAAATGACATATAGTTGTTTTTTTTTTTTTCATTTTAGCAAACAAGCCCCAATATGGTGGTGGGGCACATAGAATGCTAATTCCATCAAGAGGTACAAAGAGTTTGTGCATAAAAATGTTTTATCATGAAATCGCCCTGATGTTTTCTTTATTGTACTACTTTATATTTTATTATTAATTAATTTTTTTCTAGGTCACAAGGCGGGTGCGCATAAGGGTTACGGTGCCTATCCTGCAAAAAGCCAAGGTCTGTGATGGCACAATGTTAACGCGAAATCAATGTTTTATTTCAGTGTGAAAATGCGATTCTTCTCTCGCGTCTGTCCCTCTTAGGTATGGGTCCAACAGCTGGAGTGTCAGGTCCAAATGGCGCAAACACTAATGGTAACTCTGCCTAACCTTCTCCCATAAATTTACCGACACACAGCGGCTTTGTTTACATTCCCGCTAGTACACCATATATTGGATCGTGCTTAGGGATGTCCAATATTACCTTTTTGCCGATATCCGATATGCCGATATTGTCCAAACACTTAAATTCCGATTCCGATATCCATCGATACCGATACAGCGGGGCAGTGGTAGTGTTGCCTATTCACTAAAGTGATGGGTAAAAAGAGTGTTTTTCAATTATTTTCTGCCCCCTAGGGGACAGCATTGAAATATTATTGAGCCTCTGGTCATACAGTATTTATTCATTTATCTGTACAAACCACTGTAAGAGTTCAGACTTGTTTAGAATTGCTGGAACTGGCCTCGAGTTGGACTCAAATACTGCTGTAAACGCTGCTCCATTGTCGGTGATGTTTTTAGGATACGGACCAGCAGCTCATGCGACAAATGGGGGTAAAATGAAAGGTCAGTGAATTGATATCTTGTTCTTTGTTTATCCTTCTGAACACGCTGTAAATATTTGGTGATTCCTCCAGGCTACGGAGCAGCGGCTGCTGGCACGGTGAATGGACAAGGTGACAGATCACAGGGTAGGTACAGTTTCTTTTCATATCCACAGCCAGACAAAAACCGACAGAGCCGTGACAGAGTTCAGACACAAGTATAAAGCATTGAACGGAGCAGACATGTGGTGATTAGGCTGACACTCTAATTGCTGGTGCACAATAAGAGGCAACAATACCAAACTGCATTTATCATCCACTTTTTATTGTTTATATTTATTTTTGGCACAGTTTGTTTGAGGGTTTAACTGCAGATGCAAGTGAGCGTTTTTCAAAATAAAATTCCACAAAGACTCCGATTAAAAATAAAAAAAATGTATAATATTTGTAAATATATATGTATGTTTATATGCAATTACAAAATAGACAAAGAGAAAAAAAGATGTGTGTTGGTAAATTGTTGACTAACTTGACTAAAAATTCTAACAATAAGAAGGAAGAAGAGTCACCTTTATTGAAACAAAGATGGCCTAAAAAACATATGACTTAGAGAAGGGATAATAACTTCATGGCTGTTTATAGTGCTGGATATATTTAGATATATTTAGATTTCAGAATAGATCTGTAAAAACAGAACGTAACATTTAACTTCAATTCATTTCAATTGAATATCTACCTATGCCTTATGCCTGTAACACTAGAGTTCAAGGTGCGTATTTGTTTTTTCTTTACTCACTTTGTTGGTTTTTATTATCCAGGTAAAAGACCAGACGTTTCAGCAGGTGAAGCCAACGGACATCAGACGAAAGGTACGCCGTCTCTTCAATGGTCAAGAATTCAATTTCTCTCTATTTTAGCTTGAATACGTTCCTAATATAAGCACTGATATTATATTTTCTTCACTGAACAAAAACATAAACACCCGTTTTTGTTTTTTTTAGCTGAACTCAAAGGTATAAAATGTTTTTTTATGTACACAAATTGTTCACAGATCTGTCCATAATATCTGTGTTAGTGAGCGCCGCTACTTTAACCTCACAGGTGTGGCATATCAAGACGGTGATTAGACCAGTGTTTCCCAACATGTATATCATCAGGAAATACCCCACGGCACAACTCTAAATCTCACAAAAAGTATATGTAATGAAATTTTATAATCTTCCAGTTTAAATGACTAAAATCCCGGCCTGTTTAGTTGAAGACAACGCTGATATACTGGCAGGAATTGAAGAAAGACACTCACAAAGATCACTCACAATGGTCGAAATGGAAAATAGTATGCAAAGAGGCTAGGCCTCATCCAACCCAATTTCTCCATGAACTTTGGTGCAGAACAATGAAGTGATTCACAAATGTTACTTATCACTACACAAACCTGTATAAACAGGCACAAAATCACATTTTTGCTGTCATAAAATTATTATTATATTCAAAGTTGATCATTTCTTTTATTTCCTTTAAGGATATGGTGCTGCAGGCGTTCTGGGTGGAAATGGTAAATATAAATATATTTTGTT